TCAAGAGGTAAAGGAGCTTGATGGTATATAGTCTCCTAAGGATGACTTCTGAGATATCACTTGGTGTACCCGAGGTCGCTTCTCGGAAGAGAAGGACTTATCCGAAGCGAGACTGTCCGCCTCCATCTTATAAATGTTTCCTGATACACTATATTTCTTGTCAGATATTCCTGAGAGAGACGATCCTTCGGGTAAGAGTAGTTTTTGATTGGTGTTCATTGTCACTAAATATAGGAATTCTGGCTCTGCCGCCGCTTCCTCCTCCTGTGACACCTTCAACACAAGTCTACAGTTTACTCCAAAATTGTCTTTATCAATGTTATGAATTAATGACAAAAGAATTCCACTAACGTCCTTGCCGAAAAGAATCTGCTTGTCTTCACTTCTCACCCACATCAAACTATGCGCCCACAACTTCAACGCAGACTCCTTACTCCGAATACCTAAAGATGCTTGGCAGCCGCAACACGTCAGTTCACATTTATTGTCATTTGGAGCGACACAATCCACTGCCGCATCTTTATGAATGAGGAAATGAAGTTCGGAATAGAAACAATCGTCACTTGCAGGTTGTAGTGACGAAGGTTTGAGTTTCTCGCCCTCACTGCCATGGAGGTGACAGAACCACCCCTCTGAGGCTTGGTCCCAGTCCACTGAAGGTAAAGGTAATACTCTCCTAAACCTCACATCATTCAGTAAAACTTTGCGGCACTGCTTACACTGGGCCGTCACCAGACTATCTTTCAGGATCTCACTAAAGGTCGGGGAAGAATCCGAAATGACTGGTCCAATATTACTCAAGAGGTCTGCACTGAGTGTACTGAGGAGAGATGTCTTCTCATCCAACTGTGCTCTTGCAGTTATGTGGCTGTCATCTTGGGTGACTTTGCTAACAGTTCCTGGTACTAAAGATGTACCTCTTGGGAACTTGATATTCAAATCATCTCCGTTTTTTAACTTGACGATGCACATATATTTATCAGCCGTAATTTCCAGACAAGGACCTCTATCAGCTGATAGTGTTATGTAGAGGTTACATGCCTGAATATTTGGGAGTACCTCCACCAATACCTGCGTCATTATGGATCAGCAATATCTGTAGGAATAATAAAGTTTCCAATAACTGTCAACATGACACATGAAACGGAGAACACAAAAAATAAGAAGTAACCAGAAACAGCAAGAATTGTTGCCATACCCATGGCCAGCATTCTATGCATATTCATAAAAAATGTCACTGACATGCTAAATGCGTCAAGGGTAAGGACGGCTAAATAGAAAATTCATTTTATTATCTTGTTCAGTCACATAAGCCTACCACATAATTTAGTACTGCCAAAGTCTATTATTTTATATGAACAAAACGCAACCTTTAATACTTTCAACCTTCATATATCTTTGTACCCATTTCAATAATCCCAACTAATAATTAGTAACAGAGTTCATGTTATAATCTCTCCCTGATTATTGCACACATCATTTATTCATGATATAATTCACAATTAGCAACTGGAGAGTCAAGAAAAAAGATTTTACTTTGCGAATTTGCAGGTTTACAATAACATTGAAAGAGGTACATATCTGAACATCTACTCAAGGCCTATGAGTAAAAATACATAAATTTTCTACCGCCTACCAATATTTAGCAATAAATAACTTCTATCTTTAATTCTAAGTATCAACAATGATTTAAGAATGATATAAATATATATATGCATATATTTCTAGCCTTGATCCATATAAGCAAATACATTGGGTCCTCTGCTACCCTACCCATAAAGTCTACACATTTCATAATCAATTCATCACATAAATAAAAGTATAACCCGTGCATTCCTGTAGATACTTATCATAGTTAAATAACAGTCTTAAAATAATTATCGCCAATAAGCATATTTAATGGAAAACAAAACTCCTTACCATGTGTTCCACCAAGTGTATGTGAACGAATTTTTGTTTTGTTTGTAAATAAGACTGTGCATTCAAAGTTAATTTTCTGTTATCTTATATCTTAGTAACAGGAAACAATATTCACGAATTGCATAATTACTTATATATTATTGAATATATTTACTGGATTGTGATTTAAAATGTTCAGTTAATGTAAGATATTTCGCATCAAATTAATACTTTAAATTGATTCATTAACTTGATTCATTATCTATATATCATGTGAAGATTTTTTTCAGAAATCGAATATAGACATTTTAAGTAAAAAATATGAGCGAAGATTTTCAAAATACAATAATAAAACTAAACGTAAACGCTCTCTGTTCTTTGTTCACATCCACAACCAAGAAACTCATCCGGTTAGTTGAATTATCGGAATTAATTTTATTTTTTTATGTCGTTTTATGGCTTGTTTTGGATTATTCTAGTGCGTGAAGGATATTAAGATAAATATGAAAGCAGAGAAGAAAGCATTGTTAATCTTATGGTATGGACGCACTGAGATAGGGAAATTGAAGATGATATTCCCGTAGAAAATTAAAAGTTGCAGTCGTTTGTACCAGAAATAATCTACAGGTACGAACAGTAACACCACGAAAAGGAAAAGGTTTACGAAAAGCGCTGCTCACAGCTTAATGCTGCGTTCGCAACTCCTCGTCCAGCTCGTCCAAAGAAGTTGGACAAGTTGTCCTTCTCGTCCATCTCGTTCTCGGAAGCTGGGCGAGCAGGATGAGAACGTCACAGTAACATTTTATGTAAACAATAACAGTTGCAGGCAACCACAAGAAAGTGATTGGTAATTTTATGGCCCTTTTTTGATGTTATCAAAGAGATATTTGTGTTTGTCAGTTGCCCGTAAGTTGAAGATGCATCAAAGGAGTTACAAAACCTATGCAGTAGGAGCTGAGCCCCTCATAACCCTCCCTTGAACCATGACTTGTCACAGCAACTAAGATTTAGATTTTGTGACATGGAGTAGGGGACGTCATCTGTTTTCGAGTGCATCCATACTTTAAAGAATGTGGTAAATTTGTTCCCAAGTAGAATTATATACTATATTTTTTATTTATTGAGAACCATAATTTGCCAAGAGACATGAAAGACAATATAGATAATGTAAAAAAGTATGATGAATTCAGGGAAAATACATGATAAAGTAACTGGGATAAATGGATGATATAAACCCTTTGAATTACAAATGAAAGCTTCAAGATAGGGGAAGAAGTGGATATGTCTGTTGATTTATATGATCAGTTGTATGGTGCTTGTAATCCTGCAAAGTTATATATATGCATATATATTTCTTCTTCTTTCTTTCTCTTCTTCTTCTTCTTCTTCTTCTTCTTCTTCTTCTTTTCTTCTTCTCTTCTTCTTCTTCTCTTCTTCTTCTTCTTCTTCTTCTTCTTCCTTCTTCTTCCTCTTCCTCTTCCTCTCCTCTCCTCTTCCTCTTCCTCTCCTCTCCTCTTCCTCTTCCTCTCCTCTTCCTCTTCCTCTTTCTTCTCCTCTTTTCTTCTTCTTCTTCTTCTTTCTTCTTCTTCTTCTTCTTCTTCGTCTCAAATAAGTATTAGAAACATTTGTTTTAAAGGCAGTTGTTTTGTTATTTCTGTTTATTTCATTTCACAAGGTTATTTATTTTTGTTGCATTTTCATATTTCAGATCTGGCTGATATGAATATTTGCATTATATTTTCTTTCCTGTTTTTATGGCATCTTCCAGCATCATTATTTTGATAAAAATGTATTATTTAGCTTTATATTTAGGTAGTTATACATTATAGTTACCATTGTTTTTGTCATTCCAAATGTATTATATATAAAACAAACATTTCCTAGTTGTATGCAAAACATAGGAGACTAAAGCTGCATTTTGAACTTCTCATATAACAAGCTGGAGAAGATGGAGGGATGTTTTCATCATTCGGAACTCTGATTTTGGCATCTGAGACAAGTTCTTTCTTCTGATCCATCTCACCCATATTTGCACATCGGCAAGCAGGATGAGATGACATCACAAAAGCATTCGTATATAAACAATGATATTTGTTGGTGATCATAAGATAGTTTGTATGTAATTTTATGGGACTATATTGTTATTAAAGATGTTTTTGTGCTTGCTAGTTGCAGATAATTTATCTATGCATCAAAGTAATTATGAATATATGTAGTGTATAAATTAAAGACACTGATATGATAATATTTGATACTTCTTTCTTCTTTTATAGGGTTTTAGACTTATTATTGTGATACTTAGCTGCAACATGAGACATCTCAATAGTAATTGGCTAACAGGCACAAGATGAAGGAACTTTGCAGTCAACAATAATAATAGCAATTAAGATGAGGTAGAACGTTTTCAAAAAATTAAGGAAAAAGGTGAACAGGTGTGATTGAGCATTTGTGGAAACATGTATGTGTACACAAAATGAATAAGCTAAATCATATGCAACATGTATGTATGCATCAATAGTGTGAAACTGAAGTCATATTTATTTTTTTCTTTTTGTATTTATGGGAATCTTCAAACTATAATCTGTCACTCATTATATTGCAGGAGAACATTTATATGAACAGATATGTTTAACTTGATTTTTTACTCTTCCTATTTTCTGTTACTACTCTTTCTGTCATTTTCTATCATTCTTATAGTATGAATATATTTACCAGTGGCCATCAGTGATATAAGAAAATATAAAATACACATTTCAGTTATAAGGAAATACATTATGCTTTTTTAATTTCTTATGAGATATTGTTAGTTGCATTAAGGTACTGGGAATTGAAGATAGAAAGATCAGAAATTATGACAAAAATGGTAGTAATTTTATGAAAATCAAAGATACTATAAAAAGGTATGAAAATGATATGCAGAATAACTTTTTGAAATATACAAAATTTCAAAGATGAGAAAATTATTTTGATGATAATATGTTTGACTGATACAGAGAAGTGCAGGAGGCCTGACTACCGAGGTGTATTTAGAGCATTAGGATAACAGCAACATGATCTTGAAGAACCTCATTCGTAAAAGCCATGGTGAGAGCTATTACTGATTTTGTGCTTTTGAAAAGGTTAATATATAGCATTAACAAAACTAATTTTAGAGGAGAAATATAATTTTTTATTTTTTGAGGGTTGGTTCAAATGCAGTGTTTGGTCTTGACATCTTGGTATGCATGGGAAGGGTAGGGCTGACTTCCCAAGCTGGCTTCCATTTTTTCTTTGTGTAGGTATTCATTCTGAAGTCAGTTGGCCAAAATATGCTCAGCTAGTGAAAAGTTTTTTGTAATGAAACTTTAGACATATTCTTGCTTTTATGAGAAGAACAGCTTTGGCTGACATGAAATTAAATGAAGTATTAATTCCTTTTGTTGCCAGCATAATACGGCAAGCTACATTCTTGATATGATTGTGTTTTATATGCCTAGTCTTTTACTGTACATATTGCATGGCTTTTGGTCCCCACTAATTTCTCGTTAGGCTAACAGAAGGATAAATTTCCCTTTGATTTTATTTTTATGAAAGTACTTTCCATTAGACTACATATATACTATAAGAATATCTCATTTATTTACAGTCATTTGGATCCATAGCTCCATGAAAAAACAGGTATCATTACTTCATTCTTTCCATTATACCTTGTTTTGCTAAGCATATCTTGTGGCTTGGAGTGAAAATATGGTGCAGGTGTTAAAGATCAGTATTAGAATGACTGACCAGGCATATTAAGAATCAAAGCTGCATTGGGATCAATAATGACAATAGTGAGGGAAACGTTTTCCAGCAATGAAGACCAAGGTTGGCAAACAAGTTCTTAGATATTTATTGAGTTAAAGAGACAAGTGATTTTTTCCAATTACAAAGAAAGCTAAAAGACTAGAAGATTGCTAGATTACCCTTTATTAACCTTAAGTAGGAGGACTGTTGGACTAACTCTTGGAAGCCAAATAAACTGAGAAAGCTTCTGAGATTGTGTGTATTAGTAGTATAGGAAATGGTATTGTCTGTGCAATTATTATAAGACCATTGGTAAATGATTTGAAAATTATTAATATCCTGTAATGATAGACAACTGTCCATCTTTTGCTTCAACTTATGTTTGACAGTATTGTCCTTAGTGTTACTGATTTGCCAAGAACACCAATATGTGTGGATGTATTTACACCTGAATGCTGTGTTCATGATAAAAACAAAGATTGAACAAAATGTATTTTTTATTTTCATATAGCTGTATGTTGTTGAATCTAACTCTGAAGTAATTATAATAATCTAGAGATGAAGTGGGAAACAGACGATCAGGAAGCAAGGAAAAATGTTTTTTAAAAATATGAGTATATAGTTATGGAATCTCATGAAGGATAATTATTATTCATAAGTTGATACACACAACTCATTCTTGGACAGCAGGATGATTGTAATTCCTTTCCAAACACAGGTATGGCTGTGGTAGAGGCAGTAGAGGGACTGGCAGGGAAGTTCGAGGGAGTATGGCAGGAGCACTGATGGGGGACTGCTTGGGGGCGCCCTTTGAGGGAGAAATCAGGGCCTCTCGCTCTGTCCTCAACTCATACTTCAGAAGGCTAGCAGACCCTGCACTCAAGGGTAAGTATGTTGTATATAGCTTCTATGAATTCAAAGCCAGGTGTTTATATTTTGACTTTAGCTGTTATCATTATTATTATTTTAAGCTTTGATGAGAATATGACAATTGTAACTATATCATCATTATGTATTTGTATAGCTGCGGATATGTTTTCTAGACTTTTTTATATATTTTAAAAATATATATTTAGTGATTGTTATTATTTTTTATTTATATATATATATATATATATATATATATATATATATATATATATATATATATATATATATATATATATATATATATATAATATATATATATTTATGAACTAGATTATGTTTGCAGTTCAGTCCTACAAGTTGTACACTGATGACACAGCATGACAAGGTGTGTGGCACAGTCCCTGATAGATGAAAAAAGG